AGCTATGTTAACCATAGTGGAAGACTTGAACATAAGTGTCAGCAAACTCTCCAGTGAATTTTCTTGGCTGGATATCCACAGCAAGCACAATAAACATGCTCACCCTTTCTTTCAAAGTTTACTTTATTTATTTTGCCATAAGAGTGTTCATATGGACAATCTTTATTTGCACATTCAAATGTTCCACTGCAGGATGTCAGGCGACGCACACCTTTGAAGTTTGATCTGTTGGAGGTCTGCCATTGATTCCACGGTCTTCCATCTTTGGAACTTTTCATCATTGCACCCTTATCATAATCCAGTTGGAAGCAACATATGCCATCAATGTCATAAGGCAAAGATGTAAYTTGAGCCATTTCACATTCTGCCCAAATTTCAGGATTCAACTTTTTTCTACCCCTAAATTAAAACAATTGTAAAATATAATGTTCCAGATGAAGTTTMAAGTACTCTTCGCAGGAATTTGTAAAATTATGTATTATCTAAAGGGGTCTACCTATAAAAACAAGCTCATTGAATTGGGCTTGGTTTACATTATTTTAGGTAAATATTTTGAAATAAGACATGTTTTTTTGAATGATTATTGTTCTAGTATGTGATCATGAGCCACGTGTACTGCACACCTCCAGTCAACAGTTTTGGTGTAACGTCTCATACTTGGTTACATATAGTAATAATAGAATTACCATACAGAGTGGAAAGAAACGCTTGTTTACTTCGTCTTTATATACTAACAAGAACTGTCTTTTCAAAAACGCATGAGGCAAAATCTGTATCTACTGCGCATGACACGCTAAACTGAACTTAGGGGGGTGGGGTACGGTCATTACATTGGCATATTATTGAGAAAATCTCATAGAAAGAGGTGTATATGATCAAACTGTTTAATACAAATTCAAATCAAGATGCAAAAGCTAACAAGAAAACCAGTTTCTAAAGTTCTTGATACTTACATATCCTGAGGGTGTGTTCTACTTTGAACAATCTTACCAGTAGAAACAGTTTTTTMTCTGTAAGAAATAAATGTCATGTCAGAAGGGAAGACAAGGGTTTGGGTTTTATCCAACAAACTTGTAAATATAATTTAACACACCTTTTGTTGCATAACTTATTTTGTACATGGCGTGTTTTGTTACTTTTGGTAGAGAACACCACTTTGCAATCAGGGCATTGTTTAGGATTGTCTGAAAATAAAAAATCAAGTTAGATACACTTTATTTATTGAGGGTTAAATACAAAGCTGTTTACAAATAAACATACATTTTGCATATAACAAATCAATTTATGAAAATATATAAAATGAAATGATTTTGCTTTGGAAACCAACAGAAAAAAGTTCTTCTCTATGTTTCTGTTCTAAATYGCTGCATAAGAAACCAATGGCATGATCCCAAAACATTTTCACACTGTATAGCTCTGCTTTAATTTAAACAAGTTTGTAAAGATAACAATTTGTCTGCGACAAAGGCTTCATTGCTAATATTTGCTACATNAAGTGTTGCAAGAATTTGTTAAAGGAAAACACCTTAGGAAACAAATACTTAATTGACATGCTTGAAAGCAACCACTCTTTTGGGCCAGACCAGTCTTGAGGGTCTTTGCAATGTCATTATATAAAGCCCCAGTTACCAACATAAAACAGTTAACCCAATATTTTTTTTCTTGTTATTTTCCCTATTATATTTCTTTAAGGATCTGCTGTCGCGTTTTTTTGTCCAATTTTTTTCTTCTAAAAATTGACACAGAAAGAATTAGAATATGAAATAAGCTGGTCAACTTAGATTTTCTGTTACAAGTCTTTGAATACTGACTACTTCTCATAAAAAAACGTGTAGAATGAATGCGCATGAATGCACGATCACGTTAAGTTATATCAATTATGAACTAGCTTACCATAATAATCATTATCACTATCTGATTCTGAGAGCTGGGCATACACATCTGTCTTGATTCTGCAAGCCAAGTTTGCACATTATGTTTTAAGTTGCCTTATCTGGTTTTAATTACTTAGGCCGCGGTCTCACATTCAGCTTTTCTATTTACGTAAGGCTTATATATGACAGATTTATGTCATCACAGGACTGAGCTATGTGCGACCACCCTTTTTTAAACACTGACAAACTTGTCCAGCAGGACAAGTTTTCAAAGAAGCCGCCGTCCTGTTCTGTAGCAGGACTTTTTAGGAAAAACAAACAAAGTCGTATTTACTTTTCCATTAAACTGTCATTCATATGAAATTATATCCTTGATTGAAGTTAGCTCTCTATTATTTACGCGACCGCTTGCTCACTAAAACGTGTCTTCGATTTTGCAATGAACCCTTCTCAATTTAACGGGATGTGGGGATATGACCTGTACACAAACTCAGCAAATAATTATTACCAGCCTGGAAGACTATTTGCCATGCATAGATCGCAAGCAGGAATACCAAATGGACAGMAATATCCACCCCAAGACTTCGCGCCAATTCCACAATCASCGAGTCCAACGCCAAGCTGCTCTCCTTCGGTAGGCCTTGAAACTAGTACACCAGTTGAGGAACATAATAAAGCTGGAAGAAGCTACGATAAGTGGACAGAAGAGTCAGAAAAAATTSTAGTACAGCTTTGGCAGGAAAAGCACACACGGTTGGAATCAAAGAATGCCAGAAAAGTGTGGGATGAGACTGCGACTAAAGTCTCTAAAATCGAAGAAGTTACAGTGGCACAGTGTCAGCGTAAAATGAAGTATTTGAAGGATAAATACCAAAAAGCAAAGGATCACAACAGGAGGCAAACAAGAGGCAGTCCTAAGACTTCTCCATACTATGACGAGCTCGATTCTGTCCTTKGCTGCCGTGACTCCGTCACATTAGATAACGTTGAAGAGTCTGATGCAAAAGCCAACTCATCATCTTCTAAGAGGTCTGATGATCAGCAATCGGAAGATGATTTTTTTGAATTTAAAAAGGGGAAAAAGCGTCGACAGAAGGAAAGAAGTGAGAGGAAGCGCTCTAATAAGACGTAAAAGAGAAAGAAGGCAGATGATTTGGATACTTCAGTTGAAGAAGAGGACGACGACGCATTTAAAAAGAGCCTAGAGAGTTTAAGTGCACAGGGAGATCGCCTCACTAGCGTCCTTGAGTCAATGGAAAAAAACCAAGGCGGACAMCTAAAACTTATAAACAACTTTATGCAAGGCTTTCTAAAGGCAATATCTAATAATCAGTAATTGTTTTTCATTGCCAATGAACTATGAAATATGCCATGGCTCTTTGAGTTTTATTTTTTGCATTGTTGAACTTCATCTGAAACAGTATCAGTATGCTTTTTTTCAAGGTTAAAGATTGTACAAACCCAATCAATATTACAGCTCATTTTACAATAAAATACAATTTCATTAAAGAACTTCCAATAACGCTCCGCACAGTTACTAAAAATAGAATCATGTGAGATCGCCCCCCGCGKAGACTCAGACAAACATTGGCATTCCCGTGTATAGAATGACTGTGTGAAACTCATTGTTGTAGCGAAACATTGCCGTTTTCTTGCTTGTTTTTATACAAACTCCTAACATAATGTAACTAAATATGGTGAGTACAAAGCATTGCTGCTGGGGAACGTGTAATAGYGACTCAAGATATCCAGAGCGGCTAGCAAAGCCGCTAAAAGAACTCGAAGCGGTAGGGAAGAAGGCTTTCATTCCCTTCGTAAAGCCATCCAAAGACATCGATAAATGCAAGCGATGGATAAATGCTTSTTCAAGAGAGGGATTTSATATCTCGAAAATCACAAGAAATACCTACATTTGCGCTCTTCACTGGGTTGGAGAGCAGGGTCCTACAGCCGAGCATCCCGATCCATTGAAAGCAAACCTAACACCAGCGCAGTGTAACAGAGCGAAGGTGCCAAAGAGAAAAGCGCCTAAATCAAGAATTTTCCCGGCGAAAATACCTAGTCTAGATTTTGAAACTGAAGCTCTAAAATCAGATGATGAAGAGCAAGCTTGTGAACCTGAATTTTCAGATGAATACATTTGCGAAAGCACTGGTCATCTGATGTCTGACAGGGAAACATAAACACACTATTCAAAGTATGAACTTTTGTCTAAGGTTGAGATAATGATCTTACGCAATGAAGTCAGACTTCAAAACGAACCCACAAGAATTATTTCAAATGTATCGTTTGAAGTCACAGTGCAGAATCCTAAATCTATGAAAAACTTCACTGGACTTACCCCGGAACAGTTTGAATTACTCTTTGAGTTCTTGAACAATGTTTACCCATTCAACGAAATCGTGTATTGGGATGCAAAGGAATCTAGCAGACCAAAGGGTACTTGCGGCCCAGAATCAATCTTAACAGACCGAGAAAAACTGTATATTACTCTGCTACGCCTAAAGAGAGGCTATACCATTGAATCATTGGCTGTTTTGCTGAGTACTCCACAACGAACAATCGAGGCCACATTGATTCGCAAGATTTTTACAACCTTTATCCAGTTTATTTACAAAGTTGTTAGAGACATGAAATATGTTATGTTCCCTACACGAGATATTACTAGAAGAAGATTACCCAAAGTTTTTAAAACTATGAAAAACATTCGCTGCATGATTGATTGCACTGAGTTTGCTGTGGAAATGTCCAGGAATTTTGCCAGACAGGGGAATACATATTCTTCATATAAGCACACTAACACATTTAAATCACTAATAGCTGTAACACCAAATGGAAGTGCTTGTTTTGTGTCAGAACTATATGAAGGAGATGTTAATGATGTAGATCTGGAATGGTAATAGATTTATTTAAAGAATCCCAGTCACCCACTCGGCCTAGCGCGCTTAGATTCGCCTCGGTGCCATTTTCTCTGCCAGGGAAAATGGCGGATTTTGATGGCTGAAGTCGAATCCACAAACATCTTCTTCCATACGATACATCTTGCTTTAAAACTTATCAGACGAAATCTTCATCTTCTTATTTTTAGTTATTTGAAATTATTTTCGAAAGTTTGGGCTTTTTTTAAATATTTTGAACTGCACATGTGATGGCTAATCTGCCWACTCGAGGAAGGCCGAAGAGCCAAGACGGGACAAAACGTATTAGCTTGAAAGAATCAAGTTACAATCTTTGGATGGAAAGGAAAAATAGTCTAAGGATAAACGGCCTTTCAAACAGTGAATTCGCTGAAATTCTTCTTCATCAAAGCATGGACGAACTACGCGGAAGATGCCAAGGAAATAGAAGTCGCAAGAGGCTCGCAATTTCAGGTCAGTTCACATTGCTTCTTAGAGAACTTTTCTTGTGATATTTCGTCTCAACTGTAATATAACATGACTTTCAATTTTTTGAACAGAKAAACGACGACCCACTTCAACACCGAGCAAGCCGGCAGAAAAAACTCCGGGAGAAACTGCGAGTTCGATGCTKTCTAGTTTTCCTCTTCTGTGAGTATAAAATATTCTTTTTTTCTGCCTCTAAACTTGATTTCTGTGTTGGTTAGAATTTTTAATGTGGTTTCAAAGAGCTGATCAGTTTATTATATCGGGTTGAAATGTGCTGAATTTGCTTTGATGACCTCGAGATTGTTATTGCTTTGCGAAGTGTGTCTACAATTACAGTAAGCTTACATGTATCATCCGACTGTAGTGTAGTAGTAGTGACAGTCAAATAGTCGTTTTCGAACGAAAAAAAGCAATGAAATTCTTTAGAAAAAATCCTTGTTTATCCCCAGGTTAGGTTGAGGGCCAGGTTTTAATGATTTTAGTGACAAAAAGTGTGGTGTATAGTCTCAACTGTCGGTCACCTACATTGATGTGTAAACAATAGCAAACAACTGCCTAAATCTCACTTCATAAATCCACCTCTAGAGGTATTTCTTTTTCAATGTTTTAGACATATTGAATCCCTTAGATATTGAATGGTGGCGTGAGAAAATGTATTTGATCTCTACTTGTAATGTTTTCATTGTCAGTGACGATCTGGAAACTTCATCAGAAGTAGACGTAACAGGTGTCAGTAACAAACCAGAAAAAAGCTTSAATGTTATGACTGAGATATGGCCATCAACTACTAATGTTCTTCAAGGTGTCAATCCCTATTACTCCAGTATATTGGGCAATCCCTTTGAAGGAGATGACGATGAAAGGTAAATAAACTGAAGTTGTTTGTCTCTAGGAATTGATTGAATGAAATATATGAATGAAATGTATCCTACAAGTGTTATGTTAGACTTTAGCAAATTGCAATATATATAGACTGTACTCCAACATTTATCTCTTGGTATCACAGTGACAGTGATGTCAGCAGTGGTAGCCACTCTTCATTTGACGATGAAAGTGACTTGGACAGTGAGATTGACTTTGTACATGTAGAAGATTACTTTGATTCTCATCTGGAAGAAGGGTAAGTTTATTTCTAAATGGACCTRTAACATAGTGTAAGTTAATTTTTCAAAATTGTGAATACTAGAGATTGAAATGACTTTTATTTGCCAATTGGAAAGCAGATTGTTCTATTTCATTTATGAATTGAATTTGATTATCATTATTTTGCATCGACTGTTAGATGAAACTTTGTTTCAAAATAGTTGATTTCTMTGCCTAGAACTATTTACAAGTATGTGTGTATCAACCAGAAATGTAGCCTTGATGCACATCCCTCCAGGGGGGATTAGAGGGAGAGAGGTATCCACCAAAGACAACTTTTAACTGTTATGTATGTGTTGTCTTATAACAGAATACCATCAGATAGTGCCACATTGACAGCTCTGGAGTCAGAAATAGAGGACCAGATCGGGACAGATACAATGCAGGTTCAATGGGATGAAAGCAATGAACAGTCMATTTTAGAGTAAGTTCAGTTCTTGTATTTTATGTATATTTGATATACCTGAGTAGCTTTCATCCAGTATTTAGGGAGTGTTTAAAAAGCAATACTGAAAGTTTCCTACTTTTTATATCACAGCAAAATTATCATGACATGTACCTCTAAGATCTAATTATCTGACATTGACCATGTTCTKACTCAGTTACTTTAACATTTATCAAAACACAACATGCCACTTTTTCATWTCTGCTCTTTTGCTAAATGCTGTGGAAAGCTATGCCTTGTCTATCTGGAAATTAGCATGTGCATGAAGACAATTAGGATTGAGTACTTTTTTCACTTCTACTCTGCAAAAAGTASAAAAGTCAAATTCTCTATTCTAATTCTACAGTTGTATTTTTCAGAGTCCCATCTCACAGTGAGACATTAGAAGTGATGGAAGTTGACAATTGTGAGACACAACGGTATGTTTAAAAAACTCAATGATGTACACTTCTAATAAAGAAAATAAGCTGCAAGCAGAGTTAATTTATTTTCGTCTACATGCATCTATTAAAAGTGCTATTGTACTGACAATTTCAAACAGGTCAAATACTGGGGATAGTGATTGCTCTGTTGCTGTGGAYCAACATACAACTCGGGATTTACATGGAGAGGCAGAAATGCTGGAGGAAACTCCCTGTACAGATGAGCCTGAGGCAGAAGTGGAAACTCTTTCTGGACCATGTAGATTTGTTGAATATAAAGATAAAATAGAAGCCAGGGTGAAAAGAACCTTTCAAGATTTGAAAAAAGTAGATGATTCGATGAAAGATCACAAGGAAATGCTGGAGAAGGAAAGGGTAGTTGTGGAGGTTGGATTGATTGAGAGATTATTTGAAGGACAGTGTCCAAATGAAAACTGTAGAGAGAAGAGAAAGATTCTGAGGAAAAACGTTGAAAGTGGCGTGCTTACAATAAATTACACATGCAGTCAAGGTCACCATGGGATATGGCACTCCTCATCAATCTTGTGTCAAAAGCGACATCAAAMGATCTTTCTTTTTCCAGTTGTCATGTCAACAGCAATTCTTCTATCAGGAAATAATTTTGAAAAGCTTGCACACCTAGCCAAGTGCCTTAAATTGAGCTTTGTCTCTCAATCAGGGTTTACAAGAATCCAATCATTGTATGCTGTCCCATCCATTGCAGAACTTTGGAAGAGAATGAAAGATGAAATATGGAACATTTATAAAGAGGAGCCTTTGTTGCTGTGTGGTGATGGTCGAATGGACTCTCCAGGGTTTTKCGCCAAGTACTGTATGTACACTATGATGGATCATTTTTTACATGTTATCGTTGATCTTGAGATTGTTGATAAACGAGAAGCTGGGGGAGCATCAACTTTSATGGAGAAAATGGGCTGCAAAAGAATACTTGAAAGAGTATTCGGTGTTCTAAATTGCAGTGAGGTTGTGACTGATGCTTCAAGTACTATAATGAAGATGGTTCGAGAGTTGAAAGGTAAAATATGTAAACATTACCAAAGTAGTACACTAACAAAGCAACACATGCTATGTATTCAATGTTATTATATGATTATATGATTGTCTGCCTTGGGCTATCCCAAATATCCCACAGAGTAGCAGATCAGAATGTTTTTTTCTTGATAGCCCAGAGTTAGGTTGATACTGCTTATT